GTCAAATTTGTTCGAAGGCTAGGAAAAGTAAGGGAATTAGACAATTTTGGAATGAGGGAAAAGCAAAGGTGACGCAGGTGTCTTTCCCTGCCGACAATCACAAATGTTCGCCTATTTTCCATGGAAAGGTCATCAGTCCGAAGAAAAACGCAGCCAATGATTTGGATTTCAAATTTGATCAATAAGCTGCCTAAGTCTCAATTTCTGCGGGCGAAAGTAACATCGAAAGTCCGGTGTAGAAAGTGCTATCACAATGAATCTCCGATCTGTGCATATTTAGCCATTGATTAAAGCCAAAGTCGGGAACTTAGAGGTATCGGCGAGACATCGTGAGGGATCGCATACATGCCCCGAGAAAACAATGGGTACCATAAATAGGCCTCTCGAGCGATAAAAATGTCAAAACTGTCGCAGCTTCGGCCGGTAACTTTCCATTCTCTTCTGTTTTGTTTCGATGTAACTGTAAGTCCATATTCTGGACGATCGTTGAATATTGATCAACCGAGGCGAAGCCAAGCCTCGGTTTTGATGCAAAAGAGCAGCACAGACGATTCCCTTGCATTTGGTCATCCGCGCTTCTGGAAAAAAAATGATTCAAGAACAGGGTGGCACTTGGTCAGTTGCGGTGGTCACAGAACCGTGTTATGATGCTTGATTCTTGTAGATTAGCGAAATGTAATTGGATCGGGCCGAACAGCATTTCTACGTTCAATATTAACCGAGATATCGCGCTTTGAAAAATTCTGTTTATGACGTTATCCACCGCGAGAGTGACACTTCAGTTTCTTGCACCTTGCTTTCATTCAAGTCTCACGTTGAGTAACCAGTAGTGTATAATGAGTGTCTCAATGATTACTGAAACCAATGTGGAAGGAACCAAGGGTGTCACTCCCGCGGCGAATTACATCATAAACACAAGTTTTCAAAGCGCGATATCTTGGTTAATAGTAAATTTAGAAAGTTACCGTTTGGACAAATCCTATCATTTTCTGCAGATCTACAAGAACCAAGCATTAAACCACAATTCCAGGACCAGCGCAACTGACCAATTGCACTCAATCAAATCAAATCAAAACTCTCCAACTTTTCTAAATAGTAATGGACCACCAGACAAGGTACGAATTTAAGCAATCTGATATATGTTTCTTAATCAGAATTTCACGTAGAACACGATTCACACAACGAATATTACTGAAACCAACTCCTAACGAAGATTTTCACGTTTTTATTTCATATTGGTTAAGAGGAATTGGAACTGCCCGCTGACAAGAAACTCAAAGCTCTACGTGAGTCAAATCGCGCACTACAACGGTTTCAGCAAGCTTCTCAATCGAGCAATGTTCCTTTTCCACCATGTGTTGTTCAAACAATAAGCAATTTGCTACAGCTGAGCCAAAGCGTCAAGATTGAGGTTGCCAGATTTTTATATCGCAGAGACTGTCGTGATAACGTTTAGCGCGCGATGTGAATCACGCAGAAGATTGAGTTTTCATAAGCGGGTGGTATGAATTCACGCATCAAGAATCATTAAATATTTTCGGAAGGAGTTGATATCGATAATTTTTGTTGAGTGCATCGTGTTTTACGTGAAATTTTGGTCAGGAAACTTGCATCAGAATGCTGAAATTCGTACCTTGTCTAGTGGTCCGTTCCCGACTAATGTCGGCAAAATTCCCTGGCTTTTCCTGAACTCGAATCTTACCGGGGGAAATAAACCATCTAAAAATACTTTCGACGAGTCACGGCCGCCTAAGTTCGTCCTAACCCGGAAAAAGTAATAACTTGATGCAAGCAGGAGTTCACTGGGTCGATTTTTTTCCTTGCAATGTTCCAAGATGATAGCCGACAACGCATCCTCGCTGAAAAGCGTTGACGTCTCAATCCGGCGGGGCGCGCGTGCGCAAATCCGTCGGACGAAAACACGAAGCCGGCGCGGGGTGACGCGACGTGGACGTGGACGTATGCAAACGGA